CCTCTAACAAGTGTTGTAATTTCTCTTCTCGTTCTTCTTGTTTCCTTTGCTGTTCTTGTATTGCTGCCATTAAGTCTGCTATGCTGTAGTTTGATTTGCTGCTTCTCGTTTCCATTTTTTTTATCCCACTTCTGACACCAATTTGTTACGTCTCCTTTCGTTAGTTGATTTTCCATAACTTCTTTCCGACGAAACTTTAGTGACACAAGTCCTTTCTTAATAAAACTGGTTTATTCTTTCAGCATACAACTTTACGATACATTCAACTTCAACAGTCGCGCTATAACAAACTATAATTCACTTCAACAATACGTCTCTCTCTGACTGCAGTTCAATTACTCATTACCTACACACATTATCCCGTCACGTTGTGACCGTCTTATACATATACAAGATTAACACTATATCTAGTAATCTCCCGACAATTCATGAAGGTTCGAGAGAACGAGCGGCGTGACATTAGTCACGTGACCTCGCTGACGCAACAATACTTACAATGAATAATTCAAGTGAAAATAATGGTGAAATAGCATCAATCAATTTAAAACAATAAATAATTTGTAATTGCTAACAATTATAATGCCTATCCAAAGAATTTGTGTATTGGTTTCTCCTTGAAAAGTTTAATATCACTTTATCACTTCAAACTTGTATTCTTAAGAACTGTAAGGAGTGTTAGATTACCGTAGATACACATGTATACGACTGTTTCATTTAAATTTAATAGGAGAGGAGAAATACGACCCACATAGTTGTAAAGCACGGATGTTAAATTCGGTATTTTTATAAACGATAATTTATCGCAGGTTTGCTTACGTAACTGTTTACGAATCATTTGTTGTGTAGTTCTATTGTTGTGAATTAACGTTTACTCAAACCTTCTGAATTTTTCTCGTTGCTTTAAGTGAGTATTGTTAAATCATAAGGTCTCCTAGTTTATGGAAAGTTCTAGGTCTTAATCGGGCAATATATATAAATGACCAAGTTAATGAGAAAAAAAAAGTTAGTGAAAGTAAAAGTGAAATGGTGAAGTTAGACTGTATGTGAGTTTAGACGTAATGGGCGATTTCTAATGTGACTTTCACAGCTTGTATTGTAATAAAAGAGATAGGGGAGAATAATTTGTCTTGTCAATTGGGTTCTAAAGTAACCGAACCAGCCTGTGTGGACTCTTGACGAAAGGAGACGATTATTTAAAGCTCTGGGTACAACTGTGGTAATTAACTGCATAATGAACATTTGTATATACGTTTGACTTGTTTTGAGTATATTATTTTAAAACAAGTGGATTGTGTGCTGTCCAATAATTGTTGAAATTTATCTCCAACAAGTCACGGACACTGTAAAGAATCCTGTCCACACATACGTAAAACCCTGATAAGCAGCAAGAATACAATGGTAACATATAAATGTCTACATATTGTGGTTGTTGTTAAAACTCTTGTTATCACTTAATTTCAAACCAATAGCATTTTACTAAATAGATTTTGCTTTGTGGTGTTGTTGCTTATGTTTTCTTAGTGCAAAGCTACTCAGTAAGCTATCTGTACTCTGTCAATCGTGGGGAAATGAACCCAGATTTTTAGTGTTATAAGTCCATAAATTTACTGCTGACCAACTGGGAGACTGTTTTCCATAAGATAGACGTGAAATCGGCATATATTAAGTTTCTTCGTACAAGGATCTGTATAATCCATGTTCGATTAAATGTTCCATCCAACTTTTGTATTCTATTTTAATCTTTAAGAAAAGTTATGAAAAAAGTTTTTGTGATTATTTATTTTTGTTAGTTATTTTGTATGTTCAATAATAACACAATAATTCTGGTTTAAATGAATTTGCTTCATCTTGTAATTTCATGAAAAGGAGTTTGTTTGTTTGAAGTTAAGCACAAAGCTACACAATGGGTTATCTGTGTTCTGCCCACCACGAGTATCGAAACCCGGATTCTAGCATTGTAAGTCCGCAGACATACTGCTGTGTTGCTGGCGGGCAAAAAAAAAAGTTGCGTTAATACTTTTGAATATGAATGGTTATATTACGTATCTGCTTGTTTGATAATTTTCGGTAAAAATTCTTTCAGAGTGACTTCAGCAATACAAGTCCCTTCTTGATTAGTTTATTCTTTCTCATTACAAACTTAGTAATACACTTAATTTCCACAGTCACTTTAACTTAAACAGACGTTACAATTCACAACGATTCACGCACTTTACTTATGGTCAGTACCTCTCACTTGACTCAATTATCTGTCTCTATATCTGTCTATCTGCAATTATATCTCCGCTTTATTTGCCGGGCTTATATACTAAAATAGAGGGCGTCTAGAAAAGACTAGAGTTGCCAGGAACAGTCATGATCCTTCTAGAAACACATGACGTGTTACCAGGGTCACGTGACTTCCGCTGTCGTAGCAATATTATATTCTTGCAAAAACCAGTTTCTCAAGTTAAATCATAATATTTGTCTAATACTCTCAGGTACACTGAAATGAAAATGGAGCAATA